TGGCCGAGAAAGAACAGGCGCTGCCAGGCCAGGTCGATGCCCTCCTGCACCTGCAGCTGCTTCTTCAGCTGCCCGATGGTGTCACCCATGCTGGCGCTGAGCCGCAGGTCCTTGCCGGTGGAGAGCCGCACCTTGAGGGTGAACTCCCGCCGGGCATTGGGCAGGGGCTCGGCCGGCTCCGCTGCCTCCTCCTCACTCCGCTCCAGGATCAGGTTGACGGGAGGTGCAAGGCAGTAGACAGGCAGCTGGTACCGGTTGCCCAGCTCATCGTAGCACTCCGTCAGAGAGCCTGGGGATGGCAGGGTGAGATGCTGTGGGTGGGCATCCCCATGGACCACCCAAATGGGGACAGGGCCACCCAGGCAGCAAGGCAGAGCCTGCCTTGCCCCCCCCGTCGGCTGAGCTGAACTGCATGGAGGGCAGCTGGGAACCCCTCTCCTCCCCAGCCTGGGACCCCCATGTGCCCAGATATGGGGAACTCAACATGCACCCCACCCACATCCCCGGTGCCGTCCCTCACCATGGGGCAGAGTGATGCTGGCTCCGTCGAGGATGGCCTGAGCCAGGCTGTGGTCGTTGGCCTCCACGGCATAGGCAGCTGCCTTTAGGGCATCCCAGATCTCCTTGCGGCCCTCGAAGGCGGGTGCCGTGTCCCAAAATTCATCCCGCTTGCTTCGCAGCTGCCCGGCCGTCATGGGGTAGTCGCTCTTCCACTTGGGACGCTCCTTCTTCAGGGGCTCATTGCGGCCTAGTGGGGGGGCAGGGGGGGGATGCTCAGCCAAGGTATGGGGCTCCCCCTTGGGCGCTGAGCCCCCCACCTCCCCATCCCCACAGCTTCCGGGGGACCCTTCACAGCACGCACAAAGGGCCTGCCCTGCCCAGTGCAGGACAGTCCCCAGCACAGCCAGGGCGAACTCAGCTAAAACTAGTCTTGCCCAAGGTCCCACTGGCCCCATAGCAGCTGCCCCCCCAGGTGCCATCCTCCTTCCCCAGGAGGAGCAAGGAGTCTTGCCCCCATGCTAGGGAGACCAGCCCCTGCCCCGTGGGGTGGCCACGGGGCCTCAGGGCCCTCTGAGGCAGAGCAGTATTTATAGCGTGGGGAATTAGCCAGGAAATAAGCTGGTGAGTCGGAGCGGGAAGGGGATTACGTGGGCTGAGCTGCAGCCCTGGCCGGGGGGGCAGGACTTCACTGTCCTCTCTGCCCACCCTGAGATGGCAGGGACCAGGTGGCAGGCACACAGCATCCAGGGCATCGGGGGGCAGAGTCCAGCTGAGCTGGGGACAATGAGTGACAACAGCTCCTTCCTGCCACCCCTCTCCCTGGGGTGGCCAGCCAGCACCCTTCCTGCGGGGACGGACACGGGCGATGCCGAGCCCCAGCCAGGCAGGGAGGATGCCCATGCCCGCACAGTGACCTGCCAGCCAAGTCAATGCCACACACCCCAGCCACTGGGCACAGCCACCGCTGCCAGCTGCAGGCCAAGCCGTGCTCCCCAGGCAGCTTTTCCTGGGCAAGTGTGCAGTGACACAAGGCACTACACGACCTTTTCTTTGTACTCGCCCTGTCCCAAGACCGCTGGAGCCAGCACAGCACCCACTTGCCCAGTGAGTGCCCAGCCCAGAGCTGACCGCAACATGTGGCACCCACCCCAGGGGTCCCCATGGGGCGCAGGAGCTCAGCGACCCCAGGGCTGGCTGCAGAGCATCCCCGGCAGGCAGCACCCTGCCCGCATCCCTGGAGGAGCGAGGGCAGCCGGCTGCAGCCAGCGTTGCCGATTCAGCAGTCACGGTGCCGGGCAGGAAGGATTTGCAGCACCGCAGGACAGAGCAAGGTTGAAGGCGTCACCTGCCCCAGGAGGGCAGCGGAGCAGCAGCCACGGCCAGCCTGAAGGACACAGCCGGGACCACGTCACCATGCTGCTGTGGCACGCGTCCTCGCAGCTGGGACCGTCATGCAGGACTCCCAGCCAGCACCATCCTCCCGGCTCTGCTCCCGGCAAAGGGAAGAGGCTGGCCCAGGGCCGGGGGCAGGATCAGAGCCGCAGGGCTCAG